TGAGATTCGTTTTTCCTTTTTGTTTTTATGTGTGTGTGTGTGTGTGTGTGTGTGTGTACACACACATATATATATATATACTGCTTTGTTTTTAGGAAAACTCTCAGGACTCCATGTATCTTCAATACTGTAAAATATGCCAATCTTACAAAGCACCACGTTCACATCACTGCCGAAAATGTAACAGGTACTATTGCTAATAAATACTGTTCATTGGATAAAGTTAATACCTATTTACTTAAATCATTTCATATAATTTATGGAACGTGAAAATAAAACCCATTTCACGTTCCTCGGGTTACACTTACAGCTATTTTGCTGTATCAATGTCTGAAATTAAGGCCTTTTTTTAGATGTCAAGAAAGATGTGATGAATGAGAATAGGGATGGCTGCTGGTCACTGTGCTTGTATTAAATTTGGATTTGCTTCTTAGGTGTGTAATGAAGATGGACCACCACTGTCCATGGATTAATAACTGCTGTGGATTTCAGAATCATGCCTCATTTACACTCTTTCTTCTGCTAGCCCCTCTGGGCTGTATCCACGCTGCTTTTATTTTTGTCATGACCATGTATACTCAGCTTTATAACAGGGTAAGAAAACACTGTTTTTTGCTTCTTTAAAACATACACAAAATTGTATGAATTCACTTTTGGATGAACAGCTTTCATAATTATCTTATACTTGGCTGTAGTCAAAATTATATGTTTTGTATGCTAAGTGTCTTTATACTGACAATCTGGAACTCTTGAAAGTTGTAGCTTTTGCTCCATATCCTTTATTCTTTCTTCATCTGACCCAGAAATAGTTATTCTTCGACATATATAATATATTTCATGAACCTAATTAAAAGTCCAGAGTCACCTTATAAGGGAGATGGGTGGCATAATATGCCCTTAAATGGGAAAGTACTTTTCTTCAGAAATTGAACTCTGTGCTATATTTTGCATCTGTGCCTCTGTCAGTAATAATAAATTGTGGATAATGTCATTCAATGTTGTTCATTCTATTTTAAAATTTCCTATGAAATTAGGAACCATTTAAAAATATAGCAAATTAAAGAAAGAATTTGAGTTGAATTCACTGTTTCCTTTCAGAATGCTTAGCTTTAAATTCAAAGTTACCTATAAGTCTGGTGTATTCAGTATGCCTGTCGTTTATTCATGTCTAACTAATCACATTTCCAATAAATCAGATAGTGCATGCCCTTCAAGTAAGATATAACTTTTGGCTTAGTCATATACTATGGAAACAACTCTGATTGTAGATTGAATTTCAATCGATAAACAGTTAAAACTAGATAATTCTTGCTGAGGATGAACTGTTCAGCTAGCTACTTAATAATTTTCTTCTCTTTTGTTTCTTTTAAATAGGTCTCCTTTGGCTGGAGTTCTGTGAAAATTGATATGAGTGCAGTCAGGAGGGATCCCCGGCCAATCATTCCTTTTGAGTTGTCTGCATTTGCTGCCTCGTTATTTGCCCTGGGACTGGCATTAGGTACTACACTAGCAGTTGGAATGTTGTTTGTTATCCAGGTGAGTCAGATACAGAGATGAGATGTTCTGACGAGATGTTCTGGTGGTCAAAGTGTGGAGGCAGATCTCAGTGCCTTATAGCATCTTAATTTCTCTTAATTCTGGACTCTTGTTTTAAATATCCAATCAGAAATTTGAATTTCCAGTCTCTCTGCAGTGTATTTCATAATCATGACCACACAGCATTATGGTTAAGGAAGCCTGTGGAGAGTAGAGATAGAAATCTTTCCACAGATGATCAGTTGTGCAACAGAGGAAAAACATGCTTTCTTTAATGGGAGGTCTTTGTATTAAATTTCATAACGGTTTATCTCTTAAACAGCTTTTTTCCTGTTTCAAATGTTCATTTGTGGGTGTTAAAGAAAGAAAAAAAGAGAGAGACAAGTTAAGATGTAGAAATCAACCTGGATCCTATTGGAATTTGTGATTCAGTTCACAATGAGTAAAAACAAATTTTTACCAGGATTCTTTTTTTTTTTCATTTTGAGTTACTAAAAGTTAGTGCCTATGTGTATATACAATTACCAATGTTCCTTATTTGATCTATGCTATGAGTCAATACAGTGATTTCAATTTTAATTTGAAGGAGTAATTTAATCAAATTGTTTCACATGGCCCATATATAGACACATTATATGAGTATGTTGTCCTATCAGCTAAGACATACCTGCCAGTCTGTATTTCTTGCAATGTGTGCCCTGTTTCTTTAATATATTCATACTCATATCCTTTCTTTTTGCATTTATACTCACCCATTTCCCTTTGGGGAACTTTTCAAAGTTTTGACATGCTACATAAGACTTCAGTATGACTGTTCACACCAATGGGTCTCCCACTTCTGCTATAAAAAACCCTGCTCTCATGGACATGTGCGGGCATTGCTTGATTTCTCACCTGCGGCTTTTACTCCATTGTATATAAAGCAGGAATGGAAGCTATGTAAATTTCATCCATGTATTCATGATAGAACTGGATTTCCCTTTTCCTTTTTTTATATATTTATCCCTATTTTTTTCAAGTGAAAATCTCAGCAGAGGAAGAAAAGGGAGATATTTAATAAGGTAGTAAAATGACAGTATGATTCCTTTTGTCCTTTTTTAATAAAGGCTTATAAATCAATACACTGTTTTGGTATAATGTTATGCATATAGTAGTAACTGAAGATTATTGACACACTATTATTTAAATCAGTGGATCTCAACCTTCCTAATGCTGCGACCTTTTAATACAGTTCCTCATGTTATGGTGACCCCCCCCCCCACCATAAAATTATTTTATGTTTTCCGTATTTTTTTGAAAATATGTGTTTTTTTATGGTCTTAGGTGAAAGGGGTCCCAACCCACAGGTTGAGAACTGCTGGTTTAGATAACTTAGGTTGCAAATAGAGGAAAGAGATTGTAGATTTTATTGGAATATTTGTTGTACTCAGTTTCAGTCTTATACTGATTACTTAATATTTTGTTGTGTTACTTAATATATACTCTCTCTTTCATTTTGTATGTGTGTATCTATCATATTCTTATACAGATAGATAAGCAAAGCAAATTTAAGAAAAATTAAAATACCAAGAAATAAAGAAAAACTATTGAGCTTCTAATTACTTCTTCTTTTACATCTGCTATTTTACAGTAGCAGATGTAAAAGAAGAAGTAATTAGAAGCTCAATAGTTTTTCTTTATTTCTTGGTATTTTAATTTTTCTTAAATTTGCTTTGCTTATCTATCTGTATAAGAATATGATAGATACACACATAC